GATGGGAGGGGGGGCAGGATGGAGGCGGGGAGGGGGGGAAGGATGGGGGGAGCGGGGAGGGGGGCACCGCCTCATCTTCCCAGCAGGGCCTGGGTCAGCCCTGGGTGTCGCCGTCCCCAGGACGGCCCGTTCCCAGCACAGGCCAGGGGTGGGGAGGGGGCATTCCTGGGCTGCCTGGGGGCTGAGTCAGCCCTGGCCACCGCAGCCACGCGCACACGCAGAGACACGCCACGGCCACACACACAGCGTGTGCACGCAGCAGAACACACGCGTGTGGCCATGTACAGGCACACGCAGCAACATGAGTGTGCAGATCCACACAGCTCAGCTGCAGCCGCGCACTTGGGGCACGTGTGGGCACACACAGCAACACACGGAGCCTTGGCCACCCAGAGACACAACATCCGCTCTCAGGGACCATGTTCACATACATGTACACACACGTGGATCTGCGGGGGGGTGCAGGCACATGGCCCTCAGCAAACCACCCCCCACGCAGCATAGCCGAGGGCTGAGCACCTTGCAAGAGTGACTGGCACACATGGGGGCCCCCCCAGCACCCCACTCCTGTGTGATGGAGGCCAGGGGGCCCCTGGGATGTGGCTGTGGGGGCGTATGGCCGAACGTCCCCGGGGCTGCGTCACCGCTGACGCACTGGCACTACCTGTGGGTCCCGCTGCTATAAATAGCCCCGTGCACACCCCATCTGCCGCTCACACAGTGGCTCCGGTGGGGGGACACCCTGCTCCGTGCCCCCTGCACCACCGGGCCCAGGGGCCAGGTAGCCCCACGCCAGCCCCGAAAATCTGAGCGGTGTCTGGAGGGAGCGCGGTGGCGGTGGCACTGTGCCACCTGGCAGGGCCCGGGCTGGCAGGGCCAGCGCGGACGTCACCAGGGCTCCTCGAGGTCCTCGTAAACATGGTGACGCACCGGCACTGCCCTCTGGGCCCATGTCCCCTCAGCCCTCCACGGTGTCCGAGACCACGCTGTGGGGACAGGACCCCCACGGCACAGGCTGCAGAGTTGGGGCGACACAGAGAGTCAACCTTCGCCCACACCGGTGTCACCGGGGCCATTTAAGTGTCATCCCCTGTGGAGGCCAACTGGCCCGTGTCCTCTCTCACAACACGTCAGCTGGGAGATTCTTTTGGGGGGGATCTCCATGGAGGTGGGGAAGGGGATTTGGGGTCTTTGCTGCTGGCAAGGGCAGGCAGCCCGATTGGGACACCCAGTGAAGCTCCTGCTGCTGCTCTGTCCCCTCTGCGACCCCAGCCCCAGCGGGCGGGGGGGCCCTGGGGATGGGCTGGCACCGCGCCCCCTGCCCTGCCACCCCTGTGATGTCACCGCCCAGGCACGCCGGGCTCTGCCGGCCAGGCTGGGGGGGCTGAGGAGGCCCTGGGGCTGGGCAGGACATGGGGGGACCCTCTGCCCCCCCGCCGGGCTGGAAGCGGGCCGGGGGTGCCGGGGGGGGGAAGGGAGGAGAAAGCTGCGCCCACACCCACACCAGCCACGTGTGCATGGCCGTGTTCACACACATGTGCACATGCAATGTACACAGGCTGTGTGTGTGCAGCCTCACAGAGCAGTCCAGGGGAGCTGCAGCCCCTCACTGCAGATGGGGTGCTCAGCCTGCACTCCAGAGACCCCTGGGGACCCCAAGACCCCCTCCAGCCTGGGCACGCTGGGGCTGCCCCTCTAGCCGGGCTGTGGTGCACACGTGTGCACGCTGGCTGTGTGCACACGCGTGTGCAAGGGCCCGTGGACACGTGTGGGGCAGTGGGAGGCTGTGGGGAGCGCCCTGGGGCCGTGGCCGGCGGGCGGGGTGAGACATTCCTTGCGGCGCTTGTTATTTTATCTGGTTCAAAGTCAGTTCCTGGAATGTTTTTAATTCCAGGATCCGTCCCTGCGCCGGCAGCTCCTGGCCCCCCCCGGCTGCCTCTGCACCCCACGCCTGGGCTGCCAGCCCACAGCCCGGCGCCACGGCAGCACTGGGGCCTGGTGCAGGGGCCTCAGCCCTCCGTGGTCTCTGCGCCCTCAGGGATGCCCGGGGGTACCCATGGGTACCCCAGCCTTGGCAGGTGCCCCAGAGCCGGGTGGGGGGACTGTCTGCAGCCCCGTGCGGGGGCCGGGGCTTGCCCCCACCTGGGACCCCACTGCGGCAGACGCCGCGTTCCCAACTCGTGCCAGGGACACGCGGCAGCGTCGCCCACCCGGCGTCTGGCACCACCGTGCCAGCCCCGTCTCTCACCCGCAACCAGCACCGGGCACAGCGGGGGAGATACCGGGGGGCTGCGGGGCTGGGGCTCCGTGACGTGCCCTGTGCCGGGGGGGAGCAGGAGGCGGCCACGGGGGTCCCAGGGCGTGGGGGCGTGGGGTGGGCACATCGGGCACAGCCACTGCCCTCGGACGGGGGGTTCATGCACACACACGGGGGGCACACGCCTGTTGGCAGGCTGGGGGTGCGGCGAGGCTGGGGGTGTTTGTGGGGTGCAGTGGGTGGGTGTGCAATGCGAGGGCTGGGCGTGCAAGGACCGACGTGCTGCCCCACGCACGCCTGTGCCCGGGTGTGTCCGGCACCGCGGGGCCGCAGCGTGGCCGGCGCCGTGGGTGTGCACAGAGCCCACGGGTGTGCCGGGAGCCCACGGGTGTGCCGGGAGCTGTGGGAGCTGTGGGTGTTTCCTGGCGCACCCTCTGCAGCAAGGGCTGGGCGGAGGGACAAGGGGGGCACCCGCACCAGCTGCCCACACCCAGCAGCCGTGGGTGCACGGACACACACCCGCGTGCATGGGGACACACCCGTGTGCATGGGGACACTCCTACATACACACACACACCTGTGCATGGACACACACACACACATACACACACCTGCCAGGTGACACCCACGCTGCCCCCCCCGCAGGCACCACACCGCAGGCATGACGCTGGTGCTGTGGATTGCTCCATACTGGGAGCACTGGGATAAGCACGGCCTGGCAGCAGTGCCGGGTGCTGGCCAGGCTGGGGGCAGTGAGGAGGAGGTGGTGGTGTGGCACAACGTGGTGCCCCATGTCCGGGCTTGTCTCCTGCCGTACCCCAGACAGCTCCTGGGGGTGCCTGGTCCATCCTGTGCCATGCCATGCAGTGCCGTGCCGTGCTCTGGGGCCTGTCCCAGCTCACACCCTGCAGCACCCACGGCTCCTCCAGGACTCCAGACCCTGAGCTGAGCCCACGGGATAGGAGTGGCTGTTGGGACCCCCAGGACGGGCTGGGGGTTTGGGGTCCCTGGGGGAGCCCCCCCAGCACCATGGTTTGTGTGCCCCCCCGCACGGCCGCTGGCGCGTGTCCCTTTGCGCACACGCGTGTGCGTGTCCCCCGCGTGCCCTCCGGCAGCGATTGCCTTACAAGGTCTCTGTGTTGCTCCTGCCGCGGTCGGCGGCTCTTCCCGTTGCCAAATTTGGCACGGGCTGGGGGTGTCGGGGGGGCCGGGGGCTGCCGGGGGGGGCCCGGGAGCTGCTCTACCCGAAATGACGTCAAAGCAGGGCGCGGGGTGCCCGGTGCAGCTCCTGTCACCGCAGGAACCTGAGCTGCTTCCGCTCCCGCCCGGCTTCCTCCGGCACTCGGCTGCTCCTGGGGTTTGGGGTCTGGCCAGCTCCCCGCGGGAAGAACCGCCGAGCCCCCCATCCTGTCCATGGGGTGCTGAGTGCCCCATGGAGCTTTGGATTGGTCCCCCTCCCCAAACCCAGGGTGCAGGGACGGGGGACATGGCAAGGGACACATACAGGGGACACAGGCAGCCACCTCTGCCCCCTCCCCAAATAACAGCCTCCCATGAGGATTCATCCACCCCCAGGTGTGCCCAGGGCCTGAGGGTGACAGTGTCATCATGCCACCATGTCACTGTGTCTGTGTCACAGTGCAGTTCCAGGGGTGTCCCAGCCCAAAGGGTCCCCTGCCCTGGCACCACACAGCCACCGACACCCCGAGGCCCCCACAGCTCCCTCCCAGGGAACCTGGGGCCATAGGAAGGGGGTCCCATGGGTGGGATGGCACTGACAGATGTCCCCAGGGCCATCCCTATCCTGTCACCTTTCCCGGGGCAGGGGAAAGCCACAGGGACACTGACCTGCAACTGCAGGTGGGGAAACTGAGGCACAGCCAGGTTTGTGGCCATCAACCCCCCGCCCTGGCCCGCGGCCACCCCGCCGTGACACAGGAGGCCAGGAAGGGAGGGAGGGAGAGGAGCCAGCACCTGCAGCCAACCCAGCTGGTGGAACCGGCCCAGCTCCTCCAGGTGGGATGGGACCGGGAGCACCCGGTCGGATGAGCCCCCGCAGAGCCACGGGCCTGGGTCCGGCACCTGGAGAGGGTGGAAACAGCCCTTCCCTGGAGGCCGGAGCAGCTCCATCACCCCCCTCCTCCTGCGGGTACACACACGTGTGTGAGTGCTGAGCACACACATGGACACCTGCACATGTGTGCACGCGTGTGCGGGGCTGGGCACATCTACCTGGACAGGTGTGCAGAGCACGTGTGGAGCTGAGGACACACGTCATGCGTGTGCACAGGCACATGGCTGTGTCACTGAGGGCAAGGACCTCAGGGTGCTGCAGGCAGGCTGAGGGGGTGCCCAGCTGTCCTGTGTGCCCCCCCCCCAACACCAACAGGGTGCCCAAATGTCCCCTTTCCTCCCCCATAACAACACCAGGCACGGTTGCATCCAGACTGCCCAAATTTATTTCAAAAATAAAAAATAAAATATTAAAGACCGAAAAAGCCTCGCTCTCCCCCCCGCTCCCCCCTCCCCGAAACACACACAAAAAAAAAAGACTTTTACAGACAAAAAACACGTCACGTGGGGGCTCTATTTGCACAGATCCTGACGGAAAAAAATCCAAGTCGGACAAGAAAAAGGATCCTACGGCCTATGAAGACTATGTCAGTATTGGCTCAGTCGGGTCATTAATGTCTATAAATACCGGCCCCGCGGCCGGGACCGAGTTTGGGGTTATTTATTCAGGTTTTTTCTCCTTTTTTTTTAATTTTATTTTTTTTAAGTTAAAAAAGAAAATCCAACCACCCAAGTGGCGGGTGGGAAGGAGTCCAGCGACTCGGAAGTTGGGCTCGGCCGCGGAGGGAAAGCGCCTTGGCTTCTCCCTCCCCAAACGAAATTAACATCCCCCCAAAACAAAGCCCCCCCACCCCGTCCCCCCTCCCCGGGCTGCGGCGGCGGGGCCCAGGCACACACGTGTCCCCCCCGACTGCCCGGGGGGGCCCAGCCCCGCAGCCGAGCAATGCTACATATAGAAGGGAAGGAAAACAAACGGCCCCCAAATGGGGGGGGCTCCAGCACCTCCGAGAGAGACTTCACCTCCTCCTGCCTGCACCGGGGGGTGACGCGGGGGGGCCCAGAGCACCCCCCCCGAGCCCCTCTTCACAGCAAAGCAGCAGCTTCGATATGTCCCGGGACCCCCCCGGGGGGTCGGGACCCCCATTCCCAGCCGGGGAGGCTGCGGGGAGGGGGCGGCTCCAGCTGCTCCCCCCATCTCCCCAAAGCCAAGCGACCGGGGGGTGGGGGGCTCTCCCCGGGACACGCGGGTCGGCCCAAGGCGTCCGGTCGCAGGAGACGGCGGATCTCGAGGGGCTCCGGCCCGTGACACCCGCGCTGACCCCCCCGCAGGGGCGGCGACGGGACCCCCCGGCACAGTCCCCCGGGGCCCCCCCGGGCACGGGCTCTCTATGCTACGACAAACTCGGATTTCATCTCGGCCTTGACCTCCGGCTTCCAGACCGAGTCCTCGAAGTCCAGGTCCAGGCTGCCCTCGCTGGAGACGCTGCTGTTGCTGTTGGTGCGCCCGGCCTTGCGGTTGGGCACCCAGTGGTACGGCGCCCGCGCGTCCCGCCGCGCCTTCCGCCGCAGCCGCTTCTGCTGCAGCAGCAGCTGCAGCCGCTCCACCTTGCAGCGCGTCGCCCGGTTCTCCGTCTGCCTCAGGCGGTCTCCTGCGGGGGGAAAGGGGACAGGGGGTCAGGGGGGGCTGCCGTGGACGGCTGGGGGCGGGGGACACGCAGGGCCCCAGGCAGCCGCTCCTGGCACAGACGTGTGGACACCCCCACAGCAGGGGGAAGGGGGGTCATGGGGGCCTGCCCTGACCCACATCCAGGGGGACACACAGCCCCCGACGGCAAAGATGCCTGGGTACCCCAAAAACCAGGGTCCCCATCATGGTGCCAGCTTGTCCCCAGTGCGGTGCAGCCCTTTTTGGGGTGCAGGGTCCCCACAACAACACTCCCTTTATGCCCAAACAAGGCCCCCCCAGATGGACAGTGTTGGGGTCCTGGCAGAGACCAGAGCTGGGGGTGACCCTGAGAAGCCCTGGCCATGTCACTGGGGGCTGGAGCCAGCCAGGAGCTGCCTCCAGTGGGGGCCTGGGCCCCCCCAGTCCGGGAGAGAAGGAAGAGCAAACCCTGAGGGAGACGAGCCCCCCCGGGCCGGCACTGTCGGTTTCACTTCTTTCCTCTAAGCAAATCGGGGGGTCTGGGGCGGGCACCTCTGGCACCTTCCGGCCCCAAGAGGCACAGGCGTGTCCCCACCACGCCGGGGGGCCGTGGGAGCCCCTGCCACATCCCACGGGGTCCAGCCCTCCTGCCAATGATTGACACCTGTCAATCATCCAGCTACCCAGCCCCACTCTGCTCATCCCGGCCACAGCCCCCAGGGCGATGGGATGGACCAGGGACCCCCAGGAGCTGCCGACCTTAAACCCCGACCCCTCCGCACTCGGGGGCAGCCAGACTCACCGCTGGGCTTGCACATCCGGATCTGGCTTTGGCACTGGACGACAGGGTGCAGGGGGGGGGCGGCGGCCGCTGGCAGCGACTCTGAGGTAGTTTTGGTGGCGAGGTCCGGGGAGGCAGGCGGCGAGGACGAGGAGGAGGAGGAGAACTGCGTCTGGCAGCGGAGCTGCGTCAGGGACTGGGGCATGCCCTGGTAGTGTCGCGTGGCGCTGAGGAGGTCGTTCAGGATCTGCAGGATGGTGCCGATGTCCCGCCGCGGCCGCCCGCTGCTGTCCTGGCAGTTGGGGTGCAAAGTGCCTGGAGGGGGGCAGAGGTGGGTGTTAGACGAGCAGCCCCCCCAGATCCACAGCCCCACCGTCCCCACATCCCCCCAGCCACAGCCCCTGGGAGGCTCAGCACCACGTACCGGAGAAGGTCCCTGAGAAGACCCCGGGCGCGTGGTTGACGAAGCTCTCGATGACCGCCCCGGGCTTGCGGGATCGGGCCGAGGGGGCCGGGCTGCTGCCTGGGGAGCTGCTGCTGCGGGAGCCACAGTCCACCTGGGAGGGGAGAAAAGTGGAATCAGCCTCTGGGAAGGGGTCTATGGGGGGCACACAGCCCTGCTCCTGCCCTTCTGCCTCCTCCCAAACAGCCAGGTCAGGGGCTCCCAGGCAGGGAGCAAGGTGCAGCAGGCACCCCCAGCCCCAATTTTACTGGGACACAAGGAGCTATGGCTGTCCCACCCCTCTGTGCACCAGTGTCCCCAGCCCTGGGAGTCCAAACAAGCCTGCCCCACCCTGCTGTGCTGTGTGAGGGGAAAAGGGAAGCAGCAGCAGCTCCTGTCCACTCTTGGGGACAGGCAGGGTGTGGGACAGGCAGGGTGTGGGACAGGCAGGGTAAGAGCCTGGGTTACACCCTGTCCCTGAGTCCCTCCCGGGGACCTGGGGACATTCTGGAGGCCAGACTGGGGGACAAGCCTGTTCCACACATGGGGAAACTGAGGCAGGCACAGGCATTGCCACGGCAGGGCTGGGAAGTTCACGGCTTCGCTTCCCTGCCCCAAAGACCCCGGGGACCCCCCGGACTCACCTCTGAGCAGGAGGAGACCACGCTGCTGTTCACCGTCTGCGCGCTGGCCCCGTGCGAGCGGAACATCCCGGCGGTGATGGGCGCGGGGTGGGGGGCGTTACAGTACATGGGGGGGGCCGGCGTGGCGGGCGTGGGGCTGGGGGCCGGGCTCTGCTGGCACGTGGGCACCACGGGGATGCGGGCGAAGCCGGAGCCGGCGGCGCCGTGCAGCGTCCGGCAGTGGGGGCTGGCGCTGGCCCCCGCCTCGCCGCGGCTGGCGATGAGGTGCCGGTGCTGGAGCTGCCCCGTGCTCTGCTGGGCCGCCAACTGCAGCTGCACGAACATCATGTGGTCCCCCACGCGCAGGGCCAGGGTCAGCGGGGACCGGCCCGACAAGAAGTCATTGACCTGCGGAGAGAAGGGACCCCCTTCAGCTGTGGCGCTCAGTGAGACCACGCAGAGACCCCCCACCCTGGTGCCAAGGAGGGGGACGGTTGTTGCCCCCCTGGGGCCAAGCAGGGGATGGCGGTTGCCCCCACAGGTCTCCTGCAGCCATAGGGACGGGTCATTGGGGCAGGGAAGGGGTGACACTCCCCTCAGCCCCACAGCCGTGCCAGGCTGGCGGGAGAGCTTGGCTGCTGTCCCCGTACGACCCTGTTCCAGTGCCAGCTCTGTCAGCTGACGGTGCCGGGGGGGTATTTTTCTTCCTTCTGCCCTTCCTGCCCTTTTTATTCCACAGCAGCAAGATGCCCTCCCTGCCTGGCCACCCTCGCCAGCACAGATCCCAGCAGCTCCCCGTGGGCAGGGACAGGCAGGGGCTGCAGCTGGGGCCACCCACAGCCCCACACCCGGCCCCGAGGCCAGCACTGCTGTTCTGGCCAGCCCAGTGCCCAGGGAAGGGGTGCCCCCGCAGGCACGGGGAGAACGGGAGGGGGCCGGGGGCAGGTGAGGACACGCTGGGTCCTTGCATGCCCACCACCGTGACTCAGGGCTGCCAGGCAGGGAAGTGCAGCCCACCTGCCCCCCTTCCCCACACCGAGGGCAGACGGGGGGGGGCAGGCCCTGCCCAGCCCGGAGGCTCCAGCTCCGGCAGGTGATGGAGCAGCTGCAGCACAGAGACAAGAGCTGGGGCCTGACCCTGCCCAGGCCGCAGCTGTGGGGGGGCCCCCCAGTCTCCAACACCTGCCGCCCCCCAGCACAGCCTGCTCAGCCCCCACGACACATAAATCACTTGGCAGCTGTGCCAGGGAACAGGGGAGCCCCCGACATCCTGGCGGGGCTGGGGCAGCCGTGAGCCCCCCCAGCACCCCCTGCCCTGCAGGGAGCCTGTGCCTCTCGCCCCCGCCAGCCCGGGGCTCACGTGGGGCTGTGGGCAGGACCCGGGGTCAGGGCTAATGGGGATGACGCCACCCCCCAGCCGCGCTATTCCAGGGCACAGCAGGGCCCGGCTTTCCCAGCCCGTCACGTGCGGTGCCGCGCTCGGCTCCCGACGTCACCCACCCACACCCCACGGCACCTTCGGGGCGCAGCCATCACCCGTGGCGGGACGAGGCGAAGGATCCCTGGCAGCCCCACCACCCCCCTGCCCCCAGCGCTGCCGAGCGGGGCCCCCCCGGCCCCGGCCCCGCTCCCCCGCTGCCGCGGAGGCCGGTTCTGAGAAGCCGTGGGAAAAGCAGCTTTAAAAATACCAGCAGCAAAGCCCCGAGCGTGTCAGGCGGAGGCTGCAGAGGAAGGGGTGGGCGGGAAGGAGACACTGCAGCTCTGGACAGGGAGGTTACGGGCGAGGGGGTGGGAGAGGACGGCGGGCACGCACATGGGTACGCGTGTGCACACGCGTGTGCACGCACAGAGCACCTGGGCACAGGAAAGCGTCACCCTCGCCCCCGTCCTGCCTCAGTTCCCCTGCCCACAGCAGCCTGGATGGCCTCACGCCAGGCTGGCAGCCCCGTCCTCACTGCTCAGCCACGACCACCGGCCACGTCCAGAGCTCCAGCCACCTCCTGCCCCTGCGTGGAGCCCCCCACGGCTGCTGGGCCACCCCATCCCTGCTGCTGCTCTCAGAGTCAGTGTAGGGGGGACATTTCACACAGGGACCCCCTACACCACGTCCACACACCACTTACCCATGCTTGGGAAGGGGACCAGTCCCCTCCAGCCCCCATCCTGTTCCCACCACTCCTGAGTGGGGAGTGGGGTCTCTCACAGCCCTCCGGCCCCACCCCACACACAGGGGGAGGCAGTGGGGCAGGACCCCTGCACCAGCACCCCCCCTGCCCCAGGCCTGGCTCCGCACCCCGGCGTTCCCGGGGGAGCCCGGCGCGCGTCCCCGGGGCCCTCTGACGTCAGTGGCCTCCCGCTCCCTGTGACTCACCCCGGCCTGCCCTGCCTGACCCCTTGCCAGCGTCGGGAGAAACCAGAGCACCCCAAGCTCCGCCAGGCCCGCGCTGCCAGCACTTCCCAGGGGCACCGAGAACCACCCCGTCGGTCCCCAGCCGAGGGGGTCCCAGGGCCCCCCGCAGCACCCCTGGGGCTGGGCCGTGGCCCTGAGCCGGCCGGGTCCCCGCGGCGCCCCAGCTCCGGGGCTCCCAGCACCCGCCCCCGCGCCGCTGCCAACCCCCCCGGCGAAACCAGCCCGCTCCAATGCAAACACGTCCCACCCAGCCGCCCGCTCGCCGCCCACGCCGGGAGGACCCCGTCCCTCCCAGCTGGCTCTGCCGCGGGGGCCAGCACGGCCCCGCTGAGGGGGCTGGGACCACTGGGCCCCCCAGAGCCCCCACACCCAGGAGCCCCCCGGGGACCCTGCCAAGCCCTGGGGGGCTCAGCCGCACCGTGCCGGGCTTGGGGCCCACAGGGATGGGGCAAGTGTCTCCCGGCTGCTTCTCAGAAACGCAGATGACTCAGAGAACGCCGCATTCCCGCCTCGCTCCGAAGCCTGGCCCCGCGTCACCCCGGCCCCCAGCCCCAGACACCTCCAGGCCCCCCACTCTGGGCTGGCAGAGAGTGGGAGCTGCCCCCAGTGAGCCCCTGCCCCATATGGGGAGGGCAGCACCCCCAAAAGGGACAGGGAAACCGTCCTGGGAGATCCAGAGGGGAAAGACAAGGCCAAGGCAAATATGAGAAGGGGGAGCAGGAAATGGCCCCACATCCCCTGCAGGGTCTCCAGTTGGGCACAGCTGGGAACCCCATCTAGCCACTTGTATCGGTGCCCAGGGGTTTTTCTGTGCCAAGGGGGGCAGAGGGACAGAGCCCCCAGGCCACATTCCTCTGGCTGCAGCTCCCGGCCCTCGAAGAGCAGGATGTGTCCCCCCCCAACATTCCTGGGCAGAGGCACTGGGGGAAGGCAGAGCCGAGGCGGAGGGACCGAACGGTTTGTGGGCTCCCTGGAAAGCGGGGGCAGCTGTGCGGGGCGGAAGGAAGCGCGGGAGCATTTCCAGGAAGCCCCCGGGCCCAGCAGCCACTTCCCCAAAGGCTGGGGAGGGGGTGGCAGCGCCCCGGCCCCCCCCCCACCCCCAGAGGAAGCGGCTCAGCTCTCCCTGCGCTCCGGAGGCTGCGTGACGCAGGCAGAGCCCAGCAAAGCATGAATGGGAGGAGTGGTTTCCTGCCCCCCCTCCCGCCGCCCCCCAGGTGCTGGCGGTTCCTCCTGCTCAGCCCTGGCTTCCTGAATCACCGACCGGAGGAACCTGCGGTGGGCAGGGAGGTGTGGAGTCGCTTCCCACAGCCAGTGCCAGACCGTAGCCTGCCCACCCACCCACCCTCCTCTGCCCTGCTGTGCTTGGCCAAGGGGGCCACAGCCCAGTGCAAGGGGCACCCCGAGCCCCACGGGCTCCTTGGCTCCCCAGTCCATCCCACCCCGGTGTGGAGCTGCACAGCCTCACGAGAAATACCTGCAGCCCTGAGACCGGACATGCACTGGGACCCCCGGGCTGGGCTGCCAGCACCAGCCCCCTCTCACAGCTCTGCACCCCAGCTGGGATGGGCAGCACCCCACGAGCACCCTGGGGACCCCGGCAGCCTCTGGCACAGGGCTCCGGTCCGAGCTCACCCCCCTGGCCCACATGGGGTTAAACCAGCCCCCAAAAGACAAGGTCACCCCGGGCAGCCAAGGGCACTGCAGGTCAGTCCCTGCAGGCAGGGCAGCTTGGCCCTTGCCACATCCCCACAGTGTGAGGGGGCACAGCCATGCCCCCACCGACCCCCTGTCCGATCCCTGGGCTCAGCTCCTTCCCCAAATTCAGTGAGGCAGGTTATAGAAAACCCAAAAAACCAACCCTTAAAAAAACGAATCTGCAGCATCAGCCAGAAAAAGGAAGGAAAGAGTTTCACAGCAGTAACAGAGACGGAAAACAAAGGAGCGGGGCCTGCGCAGCTGGGGGTAAATTCCACCTTCGCGGCAGGAGCCGGCGGCTGCGCGCGCACCCACGGCTCACCCACGGCTCTCCCACCCTGGGAACGCTTCCGCCCCATGGCTGAGACCCCCCAGCAGCGAGGACCCCCCACCCTCCCACCCCGCCAACTGCCAGGAACTCCACAGCGATTCAACCGCGGCCCCGCCAACGCCGCCCGCGGGCCCCTCCAACCCCCCTCCTTGGGGCCCGGCGCCCCAGCACAAGGCCACTGAGCAGGGACATGGAGAGGGACACAGAGAGGGCCAGAACACTCGGGCACAGTCAATCCCAGCCCCCAAGGATGGCTCCAAGGAGAGGGGGAAGTGCCCTTTGGGCACGGGGGGGAAGCTGGGCTCTGCAGCCCCACAAGCCCCCAGTGTGGCCCTGCCAGCCCCCTCAACACCCACAACACGGGGGCAGATGGGCAGCCCTGTCTCTGCACTTTGGGGTGGGCAGCTGGGGGGGTCTGCAGCCCCACACCCCCAGGCAGGGCCCCGAGCTGCCCAGCTCTGCCACCGACCTGCTGTGTGACCTTGAGTGAGTCACTTCACCTCCCCAGCTCCCGGCTTGTTTGGGCTGCGAGGCTGTGGTGCGGGACCTCCCTGCGCCCGGCGCTGCTCAGGGTGACGGTGCCCGCCCCGGGCACCACCCTCAGCATTCCCAGCCCTGCTGAAGCCCTCAGCATTCCCAACCTCAGCGAAGCACCAACGCCAAAGCTTTTGGGAGGGGAAGCAGAGCGAGGCCACCGCGGTCCTTTTCCTCCACCCCCCGCCTTTGTCTCCATCCTGCCTCGGCATCCAGCCCCTCACCTGAGTTTCAGTTAAGCTTTCCAGCGCTTGCATCACCGACTGTTCTGGCCTGGACGCCTGGGACTGGAAAAAAAAGGAGGAGGGGGGGGATTAACATTACAAATGCAGCGAAGGAGGGGGCGTCCGCAGCAGGAGGGAGGGATGACATGTCACTTCCACTATTTCTACACAAGCCCTGAGAAAGGAGTGAAATATTAAACCTGCTGCCATGCCCAGCCCAGTGCTGCCTCCTCAGCGAGGGCTGGGGCAGCAGAGCCTCGGGGCTGCCAGCACATCACATCCTCATCCTCATCCTCGCCCGGGGCTTTAATAATAGACAGGGACGAGTGGGAGGGAGCAGCAGGAAAAGGGCACTCACCATCAATCCAGCCTCCACGGTGGGCACCAGTGTCAGCTTGCTGCCTTCCACGACCCCCAGGTCCTGCAGTTTGCCAGAGCTCAGGCGGCTGTGGGGAGAGATACCAAAATCGGGGTCAGTGCAGGCCAGGCAGACCCCCCGGGGGGACACACGAGGGGGGACACCAGCTGCAAGCCTGCCTGCTCCCAGGGGACCAAGCCCACCCACCCCAAGCAATTCCAACCCCTGACAGGCAGGAGGGGATCCCAGCACCCCAGTGCTCAGCTGACCCCCAGAGGGGGAGCTCACAGTGTGGGGTACCCCTGCCCCGGGCATGGGGCAGTGCCAGCGGGGCTGCAGCCATCGGGGTGAAGGGGTCAGCGAGGAGCTGGGCTGGGGAGGGGGTATGGGGGGAGCTCCATGGCTTCGTGGCACAGGAAACCTGCCCACGGGGGGAGGCGGTGGGAGAGAAGCTGGGACAAACGTGGGCGGGGGAGGCAGCACTGTGAACGTGCCCCCCCGACCCCGTGGGTGCCGGCAGATGGACGCGGTGTCCCCGCGTGTCCCCCCTCCGATCCGGGAGAGACTCTCCAAGTTACTCCGGGCTCGGCCCCACGCGGGCCCGCTCCTCGCAGGGTGTACGCAGCCCCTCGGCTCGAGCCCCCGGCAGACAAAGGCCCCCCCGGCGCTGGGGGCTCGGGGGGGGCCGGACCGCGCCGCCGCCGGGGCTGAGCCCAGAACAAAGGGCCGGGGCACGGCCGGGCCCCGCCGCCCACAAAGGAGCCCCGGCAGGGCCGGGCGAGGGGGCGGCGGCCGCGCTCCGGTCCCGGCCCGGCGCCCCCTCCCTCCACCCGAGCCCCCCTCCCTCCCTCCCTCCCTCCGGCCCGGCCCCCGCTCGCCCCCGCCGCGGCCCCCCGGGCTGTCCCCCCCCCCGCCCCGCACAGGAATGGGGCCGGGAAGGGGGAGGGGGCGGGAGCCTTTGTGCGGTGCCGAGCCCGGTGCGAAGGGGCCGCCCCCGCGCCCAGCCCCGCTGCCGGGGGGCTGAGGACCCCGGGCCCCCCGAGCCGCGCTGAGCCCCCCCGTGACGTACCTCTCTTTGTGCAGCAGCGCCAGTCGCTCCTTGGGCACCTTGAGGCGCTGGGACAGCCGCCGCTTCAGCCCCTCCACCGTCTCTTCGGCGGGCACGGAGAGCTCATAGCGCGTGCCGGTGGTGGTGTGGATGTAGAGGTTCATGGGGGGCTCGGGCGGCCCCACCTCGCAGGCGGGAGCCCCGCGGCTGCAGCTCCTGGCGCCGGGCTGCGGGTCCATCCGCCGACCTGCGGGGGCAGCGGCGGTCGGTGCCGGGGGGCGACGGCGGGACGCGGCGCGGGGGGTGCGGGAGCGGACAAAGGAGAGAGCGGGGCCCGCTCCGCCGCACGCCCGGCGGGACCCACGGGAGCTCCGGCTGCGCGGCGAGGCCTCGGGCGGGGGCCGGGAGGAGGCGGGGGGCGGCTGTGGGGGCGGCTGTGGGGGGGTCCCCAAGCAGGGCTGCACCGGCCGGGCCCTCCTTCGCGGCCCGGGCGAAGAAAATAAAATATATATATATAAAAATAAAAAATATAAAATCCCCCGTGCTCGCCCCGCTCCGGTGGCTGCCGCGGGAGGGGGGCGGTAGAAGCGGCGCTGCCCGTCCCTGCCTGCCCCTGCTCTGCCGCCTCCTTTCTTTCTCCTCGCCGCCGCTCTGCGCTCTCGGAGCGGGGTGTCTGGGGGCGGGGTGAGGCCCGAGGCCGCGGCGAGGGGCGGGGAGGCCGCGTCGCTCCCCCCTCGGTGGGGCCGGACCCGCCGAACCGGCCGCCGCTCGCGCTGCCGTGGGAGCACCGGGGGGGAGGGAAGTTACAATGTAGCAACGTCCCGGGGGGCGGGGCCTCGCCCTCATTCACTCCGGCTCCTCCGGCGGCCGCAGCCAATGGCGGCGCGCCGGGCGCCCAGACATCCGCGGTGGCGGCCAATGGGGGGCGGGCGCTGGCTCCCCACGTGGCCCCGGTGGGCGGGGCGGCCCGGCCGGATTCCTCCCGCCCACGCGGCCGCGCGGCCCCGCCCCGGCCCCGCCCCCCGCGCGCCCTCGCGCCGCGCCTGGAGCCATTCATAATCCCGGCGCACAACAAAGGGGCGCGGGCTGGGAACGGGGGGTCTGGCCGGGCACCCCCTCTCCGCGGGGGCCAACGGGCTTGGCGTGCGAGGCCCGGGCGCCGCGGAGGGGTGAACGCAGGACACGGGCAGGCGATGGCCCCGGAGCGCCGCGGCGGGGGCGGTGAGCGGCCCCCGCACCGGAGGAGGCCGCGGCGGGAGGTGACTGCCCGCGGGGCCGGGCGGGAGCCGGAGCCCCCGGAGCCGAGTGACGCGGGGACACAGAGGCGGAAAGGGCGGAGGGGACCCGCACAGTCACCCGCGCCCGGTCACACCCGCCCGGTCACACGCACCCGCCCCGTCACCTTCCTTAGTGACGCCGTTACAGCTACGGGGAACCGTCCCGACACGGGGCTGAGCCCCCCCAGCACGCTTCTAGCTCCCCTATCCCCAGTCCCGCAGCGGGGACCTCCACCCCAGCGGCCCCAGCCCCGGCTGCCCCTCCCGGGGGGCGGAACGGACGCCCCGGGGCTCCGGCCCGGCTCCCGCACCGGGGGGGCCCGGGGGGGCTATGAGTCAGCAAAGCGCGGGCGCCCCCTGCCGGCCCCGCCGCGCCTCCTGCGCCCGGGGGGGGCCGCGGGGGCCGCACCGGCGGCCGGGGAGCGCTCACCGAGCCGCCGGGTGGCCCTGACCGAGCGACCGGGAGGCCCCGCCGCGGTGCGGCCCGGGGCCGCTGCCCGCCCGCCGGGACGGAGCGAACCGGCCCGGGCAGCCTCCCCCGCTACGCCGCTCCCCGGGACGCGACGGGGATCGAGAGGGGCGCACCGAGGTCCCGGAAGCCGGAGCGAGAGGAACCGACCCAGCTCCCGTTCCCCGAGGGCAGACAAAGCCCCGGCTGACCAGGGACACGCTGGGTCCCGGCTGGTGGGCAGCACTCCCGGACACCCCGAGCGGGGCTCTGCCGTGAGTGCCCCCGGGAGCCCCGGGGAAGCGGGGCCACCCCGCCCGCTCCAGGGAAAGCAACGTATTGAGCGCGGTCCCGGTCCGCGGATCCCCCCGCACCCCCACCTGGGCTCCCCCCGGCCCGGCGCGGTCCCACTCACCGAGCGCGGCCCCGCGGATCCCGGCGCGGCGGGAGCTCAGCTGCCTCCGGCGGCAGGAAGAAGGAGAGAGACCCCAGAAACGTCCCGGGGGGAGGTGGCGGTCGGCGCGGTGTCCCCTGCCGAGCGCTGCAGCCGGTCCGAGCGCAGCCCTGACGCGGAGCTGCCGGGGAGGTGCCCCAAGTTTTATCCCGCACCGCCCGGGGTGGAGCCTGGCGGGGGCAGGGACCGGGCAGGGACCGGGCTGGCCCCGGCAGCGGCCCCGGCGGTACCCGCACCTGCTCCCGCGGGGGGTTCCGGCCCTTGCCCCCGGGTCCCAGTGCCAGTCCTGCCCTAGGACTCCCAGACTCTGCCCCCCGTTTCGGATCCTACTTCTGATATGCCGGCTCGCCGTCTCCCTGATCCTGGTCTCAGCCCACCGGGGACGTCTTGGCCCCTCCCGGGGTCGTCTTGGCCCCTCCCGGGGTCTCGGCTCTGCCCCACCGGGGCTCCCGGTCCTGGCGCTGCCCCTGCTCCCCGCGGGGCCGCTGCAGGCAGGGCAGGGGGGACCAGCCCCCCGTGGGCCGTGGGGTGGGGACAGACCAGACACCTCTCCCGGTCCGGGTGCCCCCTCATTGGGGTCAAAGGCAGTCTGCGGGCAGGGAATGGATGGGCTGAGCTCTCCTTGGGAGCTGAGTGTCAAAGTTGCTGCTCGTGAAGACTCGATGTCTAATATCGAGACTCTCTGATGTCAAATAACAAGGTTGGGCCGGCCCTCCCTCCCCCAGGGATTCCCTCTGCCCAACCACCCACTGCCCAGCCAGGATACAGATTCAGCCCCACAGGGTTTTTTGAAGCAGAGAAGTGGGCTGGTGGGCACCAGTGCTGGGGGGCAATGCCCCGGGGGCAGGGGGTGGAACCCCGTTCCCCCCAGGCCGCGGTGTGCGGGGCCGGTGGCCGCCCCGCCTGCACAGGGAGGTGCTCGTGACCTCGGGCTGCCTCGCCGGGTCTCTCTCTCGCAGACAATGCCCTGGCACACCGAGACACAAAGCAGCTGGAGGGGGGATCTGGCGGCCAGTCTGCAGCGGGGAGGGGGCCGCACACCCTGGCCCACGAGGCAGCGGTGCAGGGGCCCGGTGGGAGCCGAGGGGGGGCTCAATGCAGCCCCAAAATGCTGCCGCTGCGCCCCTCCTGCACAGCCTCCCCTGGGTTGGGTGCAGATGGCTGGGTGGGATTGAGGCCCCTCATACACGAGGCGCAGAGCTGGGCTGGGAGGGACCCTTTGTGGCTCAGCCTGCAGCCCCCCGCCCACCCCGGCCCCCTCCGGGCTCTCAGGGGGGAGATGAGCTCAGGCGGCTCCAGCTCCGGCTCCTGCCATTGTTGTCCCTGGGAGAGGGGCCGGGGCAGGGATGCGCCATTGTTCTCCCCGGGAGCTGTGGAGCTCCGGGCCTGCAAAGCCACCCCTCAAGGGGCCGCATCCCCAGCTGGCCCCCCAGCAAGGAGAGGGGGCATCCGGGGCCACAGGTTTGGCCCTGCCACAGTTTGGGCTTGTGCACCAGGAGGGGGGCCATGGTGGGGACAAGGTGTCAATCCAGAGCCACCCCCTCTGGGAGCAGGGTCCGGCCGCCAGCTCCTGGCTCCCAGCCCGGTTCTGTGGGGAGGGACAAGGAGACATCACAGCCATGGCTGTGAGCGTGGCCTGCTCGGGTCCGTTGGCAGAACGGCCATGCCCCAGGGGCAGGGCATCTCCCCCTGTCCTGGCAGCTCTGAGGAGCCCCGTTCCCAGTTGCCACCCTCCTCACATGGCTCCATCTCCTTCCTAGGAGGAAGCTCATCTCCTCTGGCAATCCCATGACTCCAGGAGATGGTGCTTTAGGAAGCGTGTGCAGATTTCAGTGTGGCTGAAGGTATCCGGAGCCTCCAGAGACTCAAGCTGGGAGATCCCAGGATTCCCAGCAGCCCAGATTTTGTGTGTTTAGTTTATTGTGTTGCCCTGGGAATAAATCGTTAAAGATTACAGGCAGACTTGGGCATAATTGCTACACGGCATCCGAGGCTCCTGCGTCTCCAGAGGGAGCGTTCTCCAAACCCCGCACGGCTGAGCAGCTCCGGGAGAGACGATCCGACGAGCAAATACCTACACAAATCCCGCTGCAGGCCACACGCAGCTCCCGCAATCCTCTTAGCTAACCTGGGCCCCGGGATTAGCCCCCGCGGCGGCTCACGCACCCGGCCGGCGGCGCGGGCTGGGCCGGAGGACAGGGGCTTACCCGGGTCCCACCGGGACACTTCCCACGGGGCCTGGCCGCTGGGCACGTCCCGGTGCCAGGGCAGAGCTGGGACAGCTCCGTGGTGGCAGCTCCTCTCCATCCCACGGTGCTGCCCCATCCCTCAGGCCCCAACTCCGGCTGGGAGCCCCAAATCTTTTGGGGGCCAGTTCTTGGAAGTCCTCTGCCTCGAAGGAAGGGAATTCCCAGCCCTCCTTTGGGGAAATCCCCCACAAGCCCCGGGCAGCAGCTTTTTTCTTTTCTCTCGGTTTTTTGGTTTTTGGTGTTGTTTTTTTTTTTTTTTTTCCTTTTGGACTGAATTCCTGGCTGATTCCACAGCTTTGGCAAACGGGGATTTTATCGCAAGTCTCTGCATTCCCCTCGCAGGCGTGGGGTCATGGGATTAGGGCAGAGCTGACGCTGGCTCCGGAGCAGGGAGAGGAGGGGAGAGGAGGGAAGAGGGGGTGTTTCTGCCTCCTGTGGCTGCAGAAGATGCCGGGCTGCAGCCTGGGGGGGCCCAGGGGGGACAGGGACCCTTTTCTTCCCTCGGCCCCCAGTCTGTGAAGGGGAGTGATCCTATGGCTGCAAAAGGGCTCCTGGGCTGTGCAGTGCCCGGCTGGGGCCTCATGTGGAGCTGCCGCAGTGAGTGGGAGCGTTCCCACGGGCACGGGGCCAGCGGCCGGGATCATGCGGGGCACACCCCGGCAGGAGGGCGCAGCCGAACCGCTGCACCTCCACCCGCCCGGCCCGGCCCACCAGGCACCGCCGGCACCGCCACGGTGGGAGTGGTGCAGGGCTGGGGGTCTCGGTGCCCCCTCCCCGTCCCCCCAAGCCCCGCGGGGCCGAGCGGCTCAGCCTTAGTCACGGCGGCGAGCGGTGACTCAGTCGCCCG